TTTTTTTTTTTTTGGATGACTCAAAACATGGTTCTCCTCTATAAATTTTGAAAACTCGCTGGATTTAAACAAATTAGCTATGAAGCAGCAGATCATGAGATTTTGTGTATGGTGTTCATCCAAAAATGGCCGGTCAATTACAAAAGTGAAGCAAAAATTTTGAACTAGGAGAAAGTATGATGTTTATTATCAAAAACGTTTGTCTCCAAGCAGAAATCAGTCACTAAAGTAACACAAAGACTCCAGAAAACCAACTCGAGTTGAGACTTGAGTCTCTTGTTGTGAGAATCATTTTGTCTTTTGTTTCTTGCGCGCTTGAAACTGTTCAGTTTTGTTCTTGATGGATCTGACAAGCAGTGATAAACTGGGGTCCATGACTTTAGTGGAGGATGATGGCGCCTCTGCTCCATCCTTCTTCTGCGCCTCCTTCTGGCTGTGCTGTCGCTCCTCTCTGCGTCTCTGTTTCTCCTCTAAGATGCTCTGCGTTGCTTTGGTCTTCTTGTAGGACGGGTCGGACGGGTCCAGGTTGTAGAGATGGGACGTGAACATGGCTTGGAAGCGTGAGTCGTGAACGTCCACATGGAAGTCGTCCTCCTCTAGTGGCGTGTTGCTCTTCAGGAGTTTCTTCCTCTTCTTCTTGCTCAGGTTCTGCTGCTCGACGATCTTGGCGTAGTTGAAATGTTTGTGCTTGTTGTCTTCTTCGTCGTCCATCAGCAGCTCCATCTCAGCCTAGATGCCACGACACAGCCATTACCCATGATGCATTACCCACAAACACACATTCATGAACATCAGAGAAACATACCCTCCGTCTCTCCAGCTCTTCCTGTTCTTCTGGTGTCTTCTCTTCATCCTTCTTCCTGTTCTTCTTGTTTTTCAGGGATGCTGCAGAGAGGATATAGATTAGAGCACTAAAGGTGTAATACTTCCTGAAGGAATATGAGAAACTCTGATGTTGAATATAATAAAGCATGAGGGGAGTAAAGTGCAGACTCGTCACTAACCTGTCGAGCCGAGCTCTTCTTTGAAGAAGGGGTCACTGAGGTCAACATCAGCAGGAAGTTCATCATCACTGATCCCAGGCTCCGCCTCCGCAGCTTCCTGCACAAGACAAAAGAGCATATGTGAGTCAGAAGGACAGAAATGAAGGACAAACGACATGATTATTTCCTCAGCGACACATTTACCTTCTTCCCTTTCCTCTTCTCTTTCTTTTTCTCCTTTCTCTTCTGCAGGTACTGCTCCCATGGAGTCAGCTGATCTTTGCCCTCCATTTTCTTCTTCACAAGCTTCTCAGTCGTTTCCTTCAGTCCTAAAAAGCAATTAAATGAATAAACTAATAAAAAATGCGTTAATATAATGTACCTAATTTTATTTAATATTATATAGTTTATATTTACTATTTTATATATAT